CCACTGGAGGTTTCCGGGGTCCAGTGGGGGTGGGGGTGGATGGGGGAGATTCGGTTTGGCTTTTCGTGTTCTCCGGCTGGGTTTGTTAACCGTTTTCCTCTCTTGCCGGACCGCCGGGGAGATGCCGGGACCAGGCTGGGTGGGGGGGGGGGGGAAGGGGGGTCTTTGTCTCCGGCTTTGGTTTTGTTTACCTCTCCGGTCAGTGGTCACCGGAAAACCTGGACTGGCGCCGGAGCCAGGTGGGGGGCTGCGACGGGGAGGGGGGGGGGTTCGAACTGACGGACAGATGGACACCTGTACGATTGTACAACCTGTCACATCACTTTTGAATTTTGCTGGATTGGCGCTTGGCTTCATGCGGCGCAAGGGGGTAAGGATGGTGATTGGGCTGATTCCTAGGGTTTTGGCATGTTTTTGAAGATGGAAGCTACGCTCGTGGGCCAACAATGCTGGAAGCTTGCTGCACTAGGCTGGCTCTGTGCGCTGCTGCTTTTTTTGGGCCCAAAGGCATTCTACATGCTGGGCTTGGCTGATGCATTGGATGCTGCTAGATGTTGGGCCAGGTGGCGGACCATTTTTGGTTCAAAACTTGGGCTCCTTATTGATGTATTGGACAGTTTGTGATATGAGCCGGGGCTTGTCCCGTGCCATTTTGATTTTCCAAAAAACTCTCTCTCTCCCTCCCCGCATGCGGGGGGGGGGGGGGGGATATGATAGATACTATTTTAGGTTAGCTTGCTAGCTTAGATAGTTATTTTTGATTTTTTGATGTATTGTACTTATGCTATTTTTCTGGATATATATATTTACATTTTATCCAAAAAAATAGAACTCGGTAAGATGTTTCCAACGAGATATTAAATGCTTTCAACGGCACAAAATAGAGCAGGATATGATCGCATCAAATTATACACGAGGTCGCAGTGAAATAAAAAACATTTGTGAATATATGGTTAATATGTAACTTTTATTTAATACATTATAAATGAAGTTGGAACAATAGCTTTAGATCCCGATCTATCTTTCCAACGAGATATAATACGCTCCAAATTGATAAACACACAACAAGATATGAGTGTCACAAATACTTAGCCTTATCTCTATGATTTAGCGTTTTCAGCGAAAATAGAGCACTTTTAGCGAAAATACAGTGTACTTTAGTAATTAGGCAATCATCCCTTGATATTTTGAAACCAGCGCCTGAAGACAAGTTTTAGAACTCGGTAAGATCTTTCCAACGAGATATTAAATGCTTTCAACGGCACAGAATAGAGCAAGATATGATCGCATCAAATACTACACGAGTTCGGAATGAAATCAGAAACATTTGTGAATATATGGTTAATCTGTAACTTTTAATTAATGTAATGTAAATGAAGTTGGAACAATAGATTTAGAGTTCCTATCTATCTTTCCAACGAGATATAATACGCCCCAAACGGATAAACACATAGCAGGATATGAGTGTCACAAATACTTAGCCTTATCTCTATGATTTAGCGTTTTCAGCTAAAATAGAGCACTTTTAGCGTAAATACAGTGTATTTTAGTATTTGGGCAATAATCCCTTGATATTTTGAAACCAGCGCCTGAAGACAAGTTTTCGAACTCGGTATGATATTTCCAACGAGATATTAAACGCTTTCAACGGCACAAATTAGAGCAAGATATGATCGCATCAAATTCTACACGAGTTCGGAGTGAAATCAGAAACATTTGTGAATATATGGTTAATATGTAACTTTTAACTAATGCATTGTAAATGAAGTTAGAACAATAGCTTTAGAGCTCCGATCTATCTTTCTAACGAGATATAATACGCTCCAAACGGATAAACACACAGCAAGATATGAGTGTCACAAATACTTAGTCTTATCTCTATGATTTAGCGTTTTCAGCGAAAATAGAGCACTTTTAGCGTAAATACAGTGTATTTTAGTAATTAGGCAATAATACCTTGATATGATGAAACAAAAGCCTGAAGACAAGTTTTAGAAATCGGTAAGATCTTTCCAACGAGATATTAAACGCTTTCAACTTCACAAAATAGAGCATGATATGATCGCATCACATTCTACACGAGTTCGGAGTGAAATCAGAAACATTTGGTAATATATGGTTAATCTGTAACTTTTAATTAATGCATTGTAAATGAAGTTGGAAGAATAGCTTTAGATCTCCGATCTATCTTTCCAACGAGATATAATACGCTCCAAACGGATAAACACACAGCAAGATATGAGTGTCACAAATACTTAGCCTTATCTCTATGATTTAGCGTTTTCAGCGAAAATAGAGCACTTTTAGCATAAATACAGTGTAGTTTAGTAATTAAGCAATCATCCCTTGCTATTTTGAAACCAGAGCCTGAAGACAAATTTAGAACTTGGTAAGATCTTTCCAACGAGATATTAAACGCTTTCAATGGCACAAAATAAAGCAATATATAATCGCATCAAATTCTACACGAGTTTGGAAAGAAATCAGAAACATTTGTTTATATATGGTTAATCTCTAACTTTTAATTAATGAATTGTAAATGAAGTTGGAACAATAGCTTTAGAGCTCCGATCTATCTTTTCAACGAGATATAATATGCCCCAAACGGATAAACACGTAGCAGGATATGAGTGTCACAAATACTTAGCCTTATCTCTATGATTTAGCGTTTTCAGCTAAAATAGAGCACTTTTAGCGTAAATACAGTGTATTTTAGTAATTAGGCAATAATCCCTTGATTTTTTGAAACCAGCGCCTGAAAGCCAAGTTTTAGAACTCGGTAAGATCTTTCAAACGAGATATTAAACGCTTTCAACGGCACAACAAAGAGCAAGATATGATCGCATCAAATTCTACACGAGTTCGGAGTGAAATAAGAAAAACATTTGTGAATACATGGTTAATCTGTAACTTTTAATTAATGTAATGTAAATGAAGTTGGAACAATAGCTTTAGAGCTCCGATCTATCTTTCCAACGAGATATAATACGCCCCAAACGGATAAACACACAGCAGGATATGAGTGTCACAAATACTTAGCCTTATCTCTATGATTTAGCGTTTTCAGCGAAAATAGAGCACTTTTAGCGTAAATACAGTGTATTTTAGTAATTAGGCAATAATCCGTTGATATTTTGAAACCAGCGCCTGAAGACAAGTTTTAGAACTCTGTAAGATATTTCCAACAAGATATTAAACGCTTTTAACGGCACAAATTAGAGCAAGATATGATCGCATCAAATTCTACACGAGTTCAGAGCGAAATCAGAAACATTTGTGAATATATGGTTAATATGTAACTTTTAATTAATGCATTGTAAATGAAGTTGGAACAATAGCTTTAGAGATCCTATCTATCTTTCCAACAAGATATAATACGCTCCAAACGGATAAACACACAGCAAGATATGAGTGTCACAAATACTTAGCCTTATCTATATGATTTAGCGTTTTCAGCGAAAATAGAGCACTTTTAGCGTAAATACAGTGTATTTTAGTAATTAGGCAATCATCCCTTGATATTATGAAACCAGATCCTGAAGACAAGTTTTATAACTCGGTAAGATCTTTCCAACGAGATATTAAACGCTTTCGACGGCACAAAATAGAGCATGATATGATCACATCACATTCTACACGAGTTCGGAGTGAAATCAGAAATATTTGGGAATATATGGTTAATCTGTAACTTTTAATTAATGCATTGTAAATGAAGTTGGGACAATAGCTTTAGATCTCCGATCTATGTTTCCAACGAGATATAATACGCTCCAAATGGATAAACACACAGCAAGATATGAGTGTCACAAATACTTAGCCTTATCTCCATGATTTAGCGTTTTCAACGAAAATAGAGCACTTTTAGCGTAAATACAGTGTATTTTAGTAATTAGGCAATCATCCCTTGCTATTTTGATACCAACGCCTGAAGAGAAGTTTTAGAACTTGGTAAGAACGAGATATTAAACGCTTTCAATGGCACAAAATAAAGCAAGATATGATCGCATCAAATTCTACACGAGTTCGGAGTGAAATCAGAAACATTTGTTTATATATGGTTAATCTGTAACTTTAAGTTAATGCATTGTAAATGAAGTTGGAACAATAGCTTTAGAGCTCCGATCTATCTTTCCAACGAGATATAATACGCCCCAAACGGATACACACACAGCAGGATATGAGTGTCACAAATACTTAGCCCTATCTCTATGATTTAGCGTTTTCAGCTAAAATAGAGCACTTTTAGCGTAAATACAGTGTATTTTAGTAATTAGGCAATAATCCCTTGATTGTTTGAAACCAGCGCCTGAAGACAAGTTTTATAACTCGGTATGATCTTTCAAACGAGATATTAAACGCTTTCAATGGCACAACAAAGAGCAAGATGTGATCGCATCAAATTCTACACGAGTTCGGAGTGAAATCAGAAACATTTGTGAATATATGGTTAATATGTAACTTTTAACTAATGAATTGTAAATGAAGTTGGAACAATAGTTTTAGAGCTCCGATCTATCTTTCCAACGAGATATAATACGCTCCCAACGGATAAACAAACAGCAAGATATGAGTGTCACAAATACTTAGCCTTTTCTCTATGATTTAGCGTTTTCAGCGAAAATAGAGCACTTATAGCGTAAATACAATGTATTTTAGTAATTAGACAATAATCCCTTGAGATTCTGAAACCGGAGCCTGAAGACAAGTTTTAGAACTCGGTAAGATCTTTCCAACGAGATATTAAACACTTTCAACGGCACAAAATAGAGCATGATATGATCGCATCACATTCTACACGAGTTCGGAGTGAAATCAGAAACATTTGTGAATATATGGTTAATCTGTAACTATTAATTAATGCATTGTAAATGAAGTTTGAACAATAGCTTTAGAGATCCAATCTATCTTTCCAACGAGATATAATACGCTCCAAACGGATAAACACACAGCAAGATATGAGTGTCACGAATACTTAGCCTTATCCCTATGATTTAGGGTTT